CTCAGCGGTACGTATTTTCATTTCAAAATAACTCAATGTTTATTTCTATCTGTTTCTTATTCATCTTTTTTACTAATTCAAATGTACCCCTTCGTGTTTGTTCATTAAGGTGGGAATGTAGGTACACCTACGAAGACGCCCCAAGAAGCAGCACCCCACCTTTAAGAGATCAATTAACAAGCCTGTGTGTTGAAGATGTAACTACTTAATTTAGTATTTATATTTATTTTGAATTTCTTTTCGTTCCAGTTATACCATCTAAATAAATTCTTTTCGTGCAGTTTCGGTGGCAACCATATGCAAAGGTCCTTCATAGACTCCCTGATTTCTGTAAACAAGGCCAAGCCACTTGGACGACCAGGTGTTGGATGTTTTGTTGGGCTATTAGGGAACCCCACGAGTCGGGCAAAGTTGTGAGACAATTTGGATACGTACAGGATGTTCCCAAGCGCCCTATGATTAAAGATAACGCAACATTTTTTCTCGATCACGCCCACAATATGTCTGGGTATCCTAGCAACAATTGGGTGGATCACCATTCCGCAGTACGTCGTCATTGGAATAGGATAGAAGAGTACGTGCTACGAGATTTGAAGGAAGGAGACCCTGGCTCCGTATATGAGGAGTACTATGAATGATTCATGGTGAACACTGTTAGGCTGATATCCAATCCCAAAAATTATGAACCTCAAGGATACGAGACTTCTTCGAGCCGAGTAAAATTATATGTGAGTTCATTCTATATATATATATATATATTATTTCTTATGGTTTCCTTTTATTTTTTTTATTTTTTATTTTTGAATTTTACTCTCTTAATTAACGTCTCAATTTCTTTTCAGGGTGAAGTATTGAACAACATTCGCCTGAGTTCCGAGAAGTTTAGAGAAAAACAAGAAGATGAGAATCTCCTAGACGAAGAACTCGATAAGCATTTGAACGATATCATGAATCAAACACATGCTGCTTTAACCCTGGGTGCAAATGATGAGATGGACGTGGAGGATACCCAAATCCTGGTTGATGAAGATCCATCTTTGCCCTCACAACCTCCGCCGGGTAGAAAAGCGAAACCGTGGTTGAGAGCTAAGATTGGAGGAGGAAGAAAGAGAAAGGTCCCAATCCCCCCTCGGACATCGCAACAACAAACTGAGGGTCAACAAAGTGAGGATCAAGCGCATTCTTCTCGAGACTCGCGCATCCAGGTCGAGACTCAATTTGAAGACATTGGTGGACCCGAGACTCAGTTTGGTGGACAGTCGCAACCACAACCGGGAGTCCTATTTCTCACCATGGGGGAGTCCCAATCCCAACCCCAATCGCGTCAACAACAGGATTCAATACTCACGTATCTTAAGAGGAAAGACAGGAACCGGCAGGACCCAAATAAATACACTCCGGATGCGCATAATAAAGGAAAAGAGAAAAAAATGAGACCTTTGATGTATTTTACACATTTCAAGTAGTTTTTTTTATTGATTTTGGTTTGAAACTTGATTTGTTTTGTTGTTGATCGAATGCCGTTTATTGTTTTGTTGCCATTAAATTTATGTTATTGTTGTCGGTGCTGTAAACAAGTTTTGGACTGGTTAAAACTAGCCCAATTTTTTTTTTCAGTTCTGACATAGACTCGGATTTACGAAATCTGAACCCAGACTTTTTGTAAAGGATTCGTATTTCGCAAATTCGAATATGTAGCCAACTGGGAGTTACCATTTTGCAGAAAACAGAGGAGACCACATTTATTCAGATTACTGTGATCCGGGTTTTTTCAAATTTAATTTTTCAACACATATTTTTTTCTTCTATCCGGAAATTAATATTTTATTCGTAAATACGGATTTGGAAAATCCGGATTTAGATTAATTACACTAATTTCTGTCATTAACTTAATATCAGATTTACATAACACAAATTCGAATTTCTCTCATCCGAGTTTAGAAGGGTTCGGATTTCGGAAATCCGAGTTTAACTTTGATTCGGATTTCGGAAATCCGAGTTTAACTTTGATTCGGATTTCCGAAATTCGGGACATATAACTTTGTCCATAAAATTTTTGGAAGGTTTATTTTTTTTCCAGGTATATATAAGGAAATATATTTAAGGAAAAAATTCTTGTTCTGTTTTGAGCTTTGGTTTACTGAAAGGTGACAATAAATGAGGCTGAGAAGGATCAAACCCTGTTGATGGTTAGAGGTTATTGGTGCGACTAGGTCTCCATGCTTCCAGTACCTGCAAGTCAGCAATGGCCTTCTTGGAAGATTTTCTGAATACAACAAAAGGATGATTAACTTGTGCCAATGACTACCGATAAGGTAAGATGCACTTGTCTTGATCATTCTCTTGATTAAAAGTTTTTAAGTTGCAGCGATGTCATAATTTCGACTTCATAACGAAGACATGAATGGATGAGACATTGTCTACAATACATACCACTATGGCTCATCATATCTGGGTTGAAATTTTCCAGCTTCCATCATTCTTCTTCTTGTCATTATTAAACCATACGGTCCACAACCCTCACCCCCCATAACACACGAAAAAGCAGCTTCCTTGCTAAGGAAAAAAGTGTTGCGTATGATGGAGGAGGCTGACATATTGATATATACCATGATCGGACAAGTGAGATAAGCACAGTAGTGGTGTTGAGGGTTGTTTGATTTTACAAAGGTTTTTTGGCTTTGTGCTACTAAAATGTGGCGTCACATTCAGCAGATCTTTTTGAGGACAAAGCCAAGAAGAAGGTTTTTGTACTTTGGTACCGTGAGACATTCATGACGACTGAGACTCAGTTCTTGGCATGCCTTACCTGCAAGTTTTGTCCATGTTCAGAAGAGAATGTCGTCAAACTACGATTGAGTTTCACAACCGAACTAATGGGCAAATTTGAGGTGTCGCCCTAAATAATCATCCAGTTAGACAATCAAGTTCAGAAATATCGATAATTTTCAAATTTGTATTAAAAATAGTACAAAACTCAAAATTTGATGTGGATTATTTCATCTAGTTAGACAATTAAGTTTAGAAATATCGATGGTTTTCAAATTTGTACTAAAAATAGTACAAAACTCAACACTTAATGTGGACTATTTTTCTAGAACGGGGAGTATATTTTATTTAACAGTTGCTTCTCAACATATTGTACTCCTATATTTCTTGTCCAAGCATGGCTAGTGATAAACTGATAATTAACGTGATAGTTTGGCCCATTTTAAGATTTGGAGTTATAAGCTGGTGCAACAAATGGGAGCCATCTAGTACCTATTGTTTGCATTTGCGATGCCACCTCTGGCCAATAGAAACTCAAAACCATACCTTTGATTAGACATTTGTACTGTGTTAAAATGATTGCGATTCCTTCCGGCTAAATTACAAATTTGTAGCAACGCTTTCCTCAATTGACTTCATTTCAATCGATCTCAATCAAAATTTTGTGATTAAAAAATACAACTGGCAAAATATATTGATTTTGAAGTCTTTTTCTTCTACAGAAAACACATTCAATTTGATGTTAATACTAATTCTATCTCAAAACTAATTTGATGGTAACGTACAACAATCGTTTCGGTTATGGATGTTCTTTTAACTTAATTCTTTACATTTTACATATACATTTTTAACTAAAAAAATCATCATCTTGAATTTTTTTCACTACCGTACGTATTGAATCTGGTTTCTCGTCTATTTTTTTTTGTGCTCCATTTCCAGTGTCTTGAAGAAAGAAAAAAAGTTTTTAGCAAATTGCATTACGTCTTGCATTGATAGATGACCAATAAAATGACGTGAATGCGATCTCTCCATACAAATACTAGAAAGATTTCGACATAAAATTGTTCCACTAACGCACGCAATTGTTCATAAAGCTAAAAAATGAATTAAATTAAGGTCCCAAATGCTTATATTGGTGATGATATGATAAGCCCATCTCGATGATTATTGATGCATTAGAGAGTTTAACATAAACCTAAGCTAATTAATTAGTACTACTTGACAGAAACAGATAACCAAACTATTAGCTGGCCACATCCAATTTCTCCACATAATGTGTGGAAGAAAGATAATGGAACTCTGGGAGGCATTTTGATCAAAGAATGGCTGTCAAATCTCTCTAACTTTAGTTATCCATCCAAAAATGTGATTTCATACACTTTAAAAAACTTTTGGAAGTATTGCTTGATAATCTCATGCAAGCTCTCAACCACATTCCCATAACTATATGTTCTACTTCCAATTTTTTTTTTTTTTTTTAAATAGATAATTTGGATGCGCATTTATGCCCATACATTGCTTTATCAGAAATGAGTTGATGTTGATATTACCAATTAATTATAGTGACATCAAATATGCCAGTGGATCGATCGATTATTGATTAAATTCATCTGAGTTGTTCTACACTACTATAGCTATATAGTATTGAGATATTTTCAGGTAATGTTGGGGAAGATTAACGGGAAAAATCGGGTACATTCGAATTCATAAAGTAAAATGAACTCATGAAATAATTAAATTCCAATTAAATTCTAAGTGTTACAATTGCTACACACACACACACATAGACACATATAGATATAATCTTTTTAAGTATTGTGCTCCTTATGAAACGATACTAGAGATGTAGAATTCGACAAGAGCAATTTTTTTTTTCTTTAACAAAAGAATTGGAAATAAGACACAAACTTTTGTGTCTAAATTTGAATAATATTGCTCCCCTTGATAATCATGTTTAAATAAGACACAAACCGCTTTTGGACCTTTTACTTTCTTACAAAGTAATAACAAAGTTTCACATTTTTCTTCAATAAATAATATTAATTTTGTCGCGAAATATTAATTTGCGCTATGTTATGATCATAAATTTCATTTGTAGTCGCGCATGTTTGATGAATCCGAAACTAATATTGTGTATATCATTACAAAAAAAAAAAAATGCAAAATGGATGTACAGAAACTCTATTCAAGAAACACAATAAAATATTTTGAAGTGGTAGGAGACGAAAGTATAACCAATCCTCATTATAAATTACCAAGGAAGGACAGAATACATTCTCAATACACACAAAACAATAGCACAATTCAAAAAATGGAGAACCAAAAAATCTCTCTCTCTCTCCTCCCTCTCCCATCTTGCTGTTGACACATATAAATCCTTCGACCAGACCAAAAGGAGAGAATTGTGATTTTGAATTTGTTATTTAAACTCTTAGAGGAGAGAGAGATATAGAAATCAAAATCATAAAATCAAAAAAAAAAAACCAAAAAAAAAAAAAAAGAAATAACAGAAACCCCAAAAAACATGGAGAATAAGCAAATTCATCTTCATCATCTTCTTCTTCATCACCATTTTGGTTCTTCGAAAAATACCTTAAAATCAATCTCTCTCTTCTCTTTGGTCTTATGCCTATTCATCACCACCGCCGCCACCAAATCATCGGCTTTTAATCTCTCAACCTTAACATTTGAACAAGGCTATGTCCCTCTCTTCAGTGACTTCAACATCCAACGGTCGCCGGACGACAAGACCGTCACCCTCCTCCTCAACCGCTTATCAGGTGATCATCATCACCGCCATAAACCCATTTATTTATTGTATGATTTTATGATATGAAAAGACAGACAAATTTAACCAATATTAATATCTGGGATTTTTTTATTTTATTCTATCTTTTTGGTTTTTTTTTTTTTGGTTAATGTTGTGTATGTACTGATTCAGGTTCCGGGATTATATCTGCTGATTATTACAATTATGGTTTCTTCAGCGCCAGAATTAAGTTGCCGGCGGATTATACAGCCGGGATTGTTGTTGCTTTTTACGTAAGAAGTTACTATTCCCCATATTTTAATTTCCACCTCCATTTTATTTATTCATTTATTTTCTTTTGCTTTGAAACAATATATCATAGCATGCAGAAAAATGTTAAAACATGCAAATTCATATGATGTTCCAAACTTGCAGTTTAAGGATTCTTCATATTTGAGAATTGATTTCAATTCATCGTGTTAAGAACCCTATGTTCGCTTTTTAAGAATTTAAGAGACTTCATAAGTTAGAATTTTCAGATACTGGACTATTATTATGAGACGGAAGAAATATATTTGTTTGATTAAAAACCACAGTAGTTGTCGTTAATGTCGTTTATAATACACCTTTTTGTTGGTTTATAGACATCAAATGTGGATACATTTGAGAAGAACCATGATGAACTAGACATTGAGTTCTTGGGCAATTCAAATGGCAAACCATGGAGATTCCAGACCAACTGTTACGGAAACGGAAGTGTATCTCGTGGAAGAGAAGAGAGGTACAGATTCTGGTTTGATCCCAGTAAGGATGCTCATCAGTACAGCATTTATTGGTCCCCTAAAAACATCATGTAAGTAGTAATAAATCTGTATCATTGGCTTTTTAATTCATTTTCTTTTTTCTTTTTTTTTTTGCTTTTCTTTCTTTTCAACCATAATGTTGGCTAGAACATGTGATTGTTTTAGGCTGTATGACTAAAACGAGGTATGATTTGCCTAAGTGTTGAATTTCACTTTTATTGGCCTAACGGAAGGATGCATGGAAAAAATGAAAAAGGGAAGTACCCATCCCTTTCAATGTAGTTAAATGGCAAGTGTTTTGATGGACCCATAAAAAAGCATGTTTACTCAAAAACTGAATTGTTATCCACTTCTTCATTCATCAACTTGTTTTGACCTTTTACTCATTTGTCATTTCCATTAAATTATTTATCTAGAGGTGATGATTTCGTTTGAAAATTTTGATTTACCATCTGTTATTTATCTCTCTGGAAACATATGGATTATAATCACTTTTAGTGTATTAGTGAATCATACCTCCGATCTAAATCGTGTGAGTTGTACTCCATTACGACCCATTAATACATTCATTAATTGGAAACATTAAAGGAAGGTTGAGTAACTGCTCTTTCTGTCCAAGGAAAATAGTTCATTTTGTTAACTATTAAATTAATATGAGACGAAGAAAGCAATTTGAAACTCCAACAAAAACTAAAGTGAAGTAGTAAGTGATTTACTCATGAAATGTTTTGATTGATGGATATGACCTTGTAGCTTATCCATCATGATCGTAAAACCCTTAATTGTTGTGTATGATGAAAGCAAGTGGGAAGGGACCTTTATGTATGATCATGAATAAGCTAGCCATGAAAAGAAGTCTTGGCTTCACTTCTGAGAAAACATAATTACAAAATGGATAATATCAAAGAAATGCAATTATAATTATTAAGAGAGGACCACACCATCACTGGGAGGAAGAATCAGTGTACTTCTTGGCTGTAAAGAAGAGAAGAAATTATTGATATTTTGTGGGAAAATAAAAATGTATGGATGAATAAGCAGTAACAATCATGAAAATGATAGGGCAGCCCTGTGGATCCTTTTTCTGCCCGTTTTGCTTTGCGGAAAAGGATAGTTTCCGTGACCATTCTAATTCAGGAAACTACCCACAGAAGTGTACTTGGTTTTCATTTTCATACATTTCACGAAAACAAAAACGTAGTACAACATAGGTTTCAGTGCTCTACTGCTCTTGCAATTCTCTGAGCTATTGGTCCAAAGTCGTATTGCAATCATTTATGGAAGATGTTTATTGCTTATCAATTTAAGAGGAGCCAAACCCTCTTTAAAAGGATTTTTTCTACCAGAAAGAATTAAGCCTTGTATTATTTTGTTAATAAAAAAATGTGATTTTAGCTTCGAAATATGGTCATTACATAAGAGTATCTCATCTGCCATCTGTCATTGAATGCTCATTTTTGCTAGCTGGAAAATATTAGACTTCTATTTTTTTTCCTGGCCAATTATCTTTTTTTTTTCTGGATATTATTAAGTCAGACGCAAAACCCCTTTCTGTAAAAAGATTAGGCAGCCTTTTTTTGAGAGCTTAAAGAGGTAGACTTTCGTTTATTGAAGTTACAGGACTTCATTGGTTAGAGTCAATAAACTTGTCTCAAAATCAATTTAAACGGGAACAAGGAACTAAGTTTGTCGTCTATCCAAATACCTAATTCATTACTTTTCTTCATTTGAATCACACAACTCACAGACAGGATGGATTACGTTTATTACATTTGTATAGATATGGAAGCTATTAAATTAACGTACTTCCTTCAACCCCCAAGAAAAAAAAAACTGTTTAATTATACAAGTTTAAATCATCAAACAAAATTTTTATTTTGGGACGGTAAGGATATATTTATGGTAGAGAAATAATGCTCAGTGCCTTAAAAATTCGAATATACAATATTGTTTGGTGCGAAGATGACCAAAATGGTAAGAAGCTGGATTACTTTAGCGATTCTTTCATAATAAACCAGAGTGTCATTGTTTGTATCTGAAACTGAAAATCAGCTCTTTTGGGTACTCAATTTGAGGTTATTGAAAGTAGGTTTTCCTGCCTAGAGGCTAGAGGCAACCTCACTATAGTTTCTTGTGTATTTGAAAGGCTATATTCATTTCAATATCTGTATAATCTTTCTGTTTCAATAAAATTGTCCTACTTATATAAAAAGTACCACGTATATTGTCCTGTTTATGTAAAATACTAACACTTTTTGTAAATCACAATGTTATTTTAGTTTAGTTCTTTCCTGAACATTATATTTTTTCTAAATACATTGTAGGGTTTTTTATCCATTAGAAATCCCCCGTTTTTCATTCTTTCTTCTTTTTATTTATTTGGTGTATTACTTTGTCTAACAAAAAGATTATTGGGTTTACATTCAGATTCTACGTCGATGAAATACCGATACGGGAAATTGTCCGGCACCCGGCAATGGGAGGAGATTATCCATCAAAGCCAATGTCATTATACGCCACAATTTGGGATGCATCTTCATGGGCTACAAATGGCGGAAGAGAGAAAGTTGACTACAAGTACGAACCATTTTCTTCCGAATTCAGAGACCTTGTGTTAGAAGGTTGCATCGTTGATCCGCTGGAGCAAATCTCCTCCACGAATTGCACCGACAGGGTCGCAAGGTTAATGGCTCAGCGGTTCGCCGAGATCAGCCCCGAAGGACGGAAATCCATGAAATGGTTCCGGGAGAAATACATGTATTATTCGTATTGTTACGATAATTTGAGGTACAGTGTTCCTCCACCGGAATGTGTCATCGTCCCGTCGGAAAAGGAGAGGTTTAGAGACACTGGAAGACTCCGGGAGAAAATGAGATTTGGGGGCAGTCATAACAGGCGGCACAACCGCGGCCGTGGCCGGAGTTCGAGACGGAGGAGCCGGCGTTCCGGTTCAGGAAAAGAGGCTGTTGCTGCTGCTGCTGCTATGTGATTAATTTGTCTAGTGTAGTACGTACGCTATATTATTATCATCTTAGAGTTACTACCACTATTGTATTGATTTTGTGTCTTTTGATTAATTATTGCTCATCATTTGATCATATATACATGTAAAAGTTATTGTGTTTGTATAAACTCAATATATACATGATTATGAAGGGATGGATTTTGATTTTGTACATATAGCTTTGTTGATTCGTGCAGAATTATTATTAAAGTACGGCATCAGTAGGTGGTCTTTTGCCAATGTTACTAAAATGGATGTCACGTGAAACTTTTGTTGCTGTTAACGTTTTTTTCTTTCTTATGAAAAATTAATACTCACAAATCTTCATTCTATCGTCCATGCCAATGAGAGATTCCTTATCACCAGATTATGATCATATTTCCCTGAATGTTCCATACGATACTTATTATATAAAACATTTTGATTTCAAGGGATCCGTTTGATGATACATGTATTGTAAAGCACCATTCTAAAATAGATTCAACTAAAATGACCAGCAGCATATCCCACAAAAGATGTATACATCTACAAAATGAAATTGTCTGGATGTAACATCTTGTCAGAACGTAATGACACCTTGCAAAACGATTTGTCATCTCAAGAAAAAGAAAATTTGACAAATTTCATGTACTTTCTTGGTAACATGCATGCATGAACCTCTTCTAGAGAGGACCAAAGGACAGTACTTATTCCAAAGTATATAAAATCTTTTTCAAAACTAAAGTACATGATGATCATCAATTAAGTGAAACATAGCATTCTCATTTTCTTGGCCTCTGAATATCCCCTATATAAAGATTCTTGCGTGAGACTAGTGTCACTAGTCAACAAGCATCTTGGAACATAAGCTAGCAGCTGGATCCCTCCATGGGTTGTGAATTGAGAGCTATAACAGCTTCACTTCTCAGTTGTGTAGCCAAATTTTTAAATGAACAACTTTGTGAGCCCCTCCAAAAACATACTGAGAATCTGGGGTTGGCTTCCACACGAGTCTCCCTTGATAAATAAGGAAATTAAGGTACTGCGCTGGGGAAAAAGGAGGGATATCAAGAGTCACCTCATTCAAAGAGGTTCGGCTACTCTTTTGGAAAACAAATCGCACCCATGCAATTCATCTTCAAAATGTGTAAACGTACGTACTGGTCACTTTCATCCAGTGATGTCTCCATGACTTGACTCTAACCTTTGGACACAAAATGGTGTGGTGCTTCAACTGATTCTCTTGGAAAGGAATGAGAGGATGTGGAAACTAATTGCTTCCGGGAGATTTCTGATCCGATCCATCATCACAAGACTCAGATCTTTTTGGATTTGGAACTTCTTCATTGTTGCGGACTTCTTCTTTACCGATTTTCTTGAGCGACTACTATTATGTAGAACTTCCTTGTGACGGGTTTCTCCTTGGAAACCCTATTAATCTTGTTAAGCCAAATATACAAGTCATTTTGATATGTTCTGAATTTCATTTAATACGTTCTTTTAATTAAAAATAAAATCTAAAAAATGTATTCTCACATATATTATGTTTTCTTAATTATTTTAAAATATTTCTATAATTTTAATTTTGTTTAGAACAAGACATACTAAATGAAATTTAAAACAAATCAAAATGTTTTACCGAACTATAGGGTAACGAAAACCTTTTGATAAAGTGTAGGAGCATGAAGGTACAGATCGAGAGAAGAAATTATTTTCCGGCATCATTCAATTCCTACATTTTTGAGGGTACCACCGCACCGAACTGCATACATTGTTTTTTTTTGAAAAGTGTACCTGTTTATATTAATTAAAGGGAGTCTAAACTATTACATTTAGCTAAATTATATGCTATATTATGCATCTCAGCTACTACATCTCGAGGAACTTTAGTGATAGAAAAGGAAAGGAAAGACTTGGAAATGGTACTAATCTCAGCAATTAATTCCTGAACTTCAACCGGTGATTGATCAGGAATCAGTTTGTTTGCTAAGAACTCACAATCCGTAAGCACAAAAATGTGTTGGATGTCCATGCTTGCAGCTTCTTGTATGGCATAAAGCAGGGTTTGGGCTTCTGCTTGTAGAGGAGTAAGTGCAGGGAATTTTTGAGATTTAATTTGCTTAATCATTCCCTGATTTGTGGTGATTTTCCATGCTCCCGCCGCTTGCATTGATGTCGGAAAGAAAGATCCATCTAGCATGATAGTATGGCCATGTGAGGCTATGTTGAGGTCATCCATCTCTGCTATCTCTTCTGTTTGGATCAAATTACCCCGATTTTGGTTTCATTCTTTCTTAAAAAGAGTGAGATGCAGGTTGTAATCTTGTTTGATTGTATTCCACATCCTTGTACAATCACCCTGTCGATCTCCCTGTTGTGGACACCAAACTCGGTTATTTCGCTCCTTCCAAATTTCCAAAGAACAAAGATTGATAACTCAATTCCCATTGCATCAGGAGCTGTTTTGAGCCATTCCATGAACCAGTCTTTGAAGGGGATGGCTTGACCTCTGTCGAAATTAAAACCTAAGCTCGTAAGTCTCCAAAGCCTCCTTGAGGATGGACATTCTAGGAATAGATGTGAAACATCCTCTAATTGCAACTGACATCTGGGACATAAGTCCTCTTCTATTACTCCTCTTCTAAGTAACCCTTGTTTTGTCGGAAGTACATTATGAATTCCTCGCCAAACAAAGAGTTTCATTTTTGGAGGTATCTTGGTTTTCCACAATTGTTTCCACGCAGCCTTCTCTTGATTTATGGCAATTTAGTCCAATGGGTATGCTTTATTGTAAGCTACCTCGTAGCCTGATAAAAGGCAATATAGTCTGTCATCCTCTTCTCTCCGCGTTGGATCAATGTGGATTCCCTGGATAAAAGGCAATATCATTGGGGAGGGGGAGGGGGGGAGGGGAGATCTTTCTAAGCAGTGATATTTTTCAGGAGCCATTTGCATTAAGCAAGTTGACAACTCTTAAATCAGTGTTTGTCGCCAGGATGGAATCACTAGCAATTGGATTGTCCCTTGATGGGATCCAGTTATCACTGATCTTAATGCTGTTTCCCGAAATTACTTTCCATTTGAACTTCCCCTTTAATAACTCATAGCCCCATAGGATGCTTCGGAATCCCCATGACATGGTAGTACTTTTCTCTGGGATTATAAAGCTTTTTCCTTTGCAGTATTTACCTCAAAAGAAGCGTGATATGAGGGAATTTGGAGCAGAGAGTATTTTCTAAGCATGCTTAGCGAGTAGTGCTTGATTAAATTCCTCTGTCGATTTGAGTCCTAACCCTCCATGCAATGTCGGTTTACACACCTTATCCCATGATCTCCAATTTATGCCTCGATTTTCCTTGTCACCACACCAGATGAATTTACCTAAGATCTGATTTGCCTTTTATAGGGTGTCCTTTGGCAACTTGAAAACACCCATAGGGTAGACTAGCATTGAAGAGAGCGTTGACTTTGCTAATGTGACTCTACCTGGCAAAGATAACAACTTTGTCTTCCAATCCCCCAATTTATTACTCAGCTTGCTTGTGAATTGCGCAAAAATGAGTCTCTTCTTTTCCTCAAAATCCAGACTCATCCCAAGGTCTTTGCTCTCAAAATTAGTAGACTGAATGCCAAGTGTTTGATGTAGTAGGTCCTTCTGCTGTGGTGTGGTGTTATAACTCAACAGAATTGAGGACTTGGAATGGTTTATTTTCTGACCCGACAGTCTGGCATATTGAGAGATCACATGAGCCAGATCTTTGACAGATGATTCTTTGCATTCAAGAAAGAACAAGCTGTCATCTGCATACATCAGATGACTTATTCTTGGAGTAGCTTTACTGATCTTGATACCGAGTCCAGGTGGTTTCCTAATTTCCGCTCTTATAGCCGATGATAATGCCTATTGGCAAAGGATAAACAGGTATGGTGAGAGAGGACATCCTTGTCTGAGACCTCTGTTTGGTTGGAAAAAGGCTGAATTCTCTCCATTAAATAAGATTGAGTAGGATATTGTGGTGACACAATGCATGATCAATCGAACCAACCGAGCAGGAAAACCCAACTTATCTAAAACCTCTCTGAGAAAACTCCATGATACTCTATCATATGCTTTACTCATGTCCACCTTAATTGCTGCCACACCTGTTTTGCCTTTCCTTTTTTTGATGTATTCCACTACTTCATGTGCAATCAGGATATTCTCACTAATGTTCCTTCCAGGCACAAAGTCGTTCTGGTGGTCATCTATCAGATCATTCATGACAGCTTTAAATCTTGCTGTGATCATCTTTGTGATGATCTTGTACTTGACGTTATACAGGTTGATTGGTCTGAAATCATTTGGCGTTGTTGGATTTGCTGTCTTTGGGATGAGGACCAAATTGGTCTGATTCCATTCCTCTGGGAATTCTTCCTTTTGTGTCACCTCTAATATGGCCTGAACTACCTCCGTTTTGATTTGTCGCAGTACGTTTGGTAAAAACCCGCTGGCATACCATCCGACCCTAGTGACTTCCATGGTGCCATTTGCTTAACAGCATGCCAGATTTCTTCTTCTGTGAAAGGGCTTCCCAGAAGTTGTTGTTGGCCCTCGGATAAGGTTTCCTCCATTGTGGCCAGCAAGTCCCCTACATTTAGATCTTCCCTACCTGGAACATATGATTCATTAGGAGTAGTGTAAATATCCGAAAAATGTTGATCAATTTGGAACCTTATTTGCTCCTGCTCCTGTATCCAGTTCCCTTCTTGGTCTAGCAATTCTGTAATCCATTTATTGCCTTTTTTCCTGGATGCCCATTTGTTGAAGAACTTTGTATTCTTATCCCCTTGTAGTGGCCAAATTAGTTTAGATCTTTGCCTCCAGTAGTCTTCCTGCATTACAAGAGCCTGTTCCATTGCTTGTTTGAGCTCTGTGAGTTTCTCATGAGCCTGTGATTGGTTTCTATGTTCCTCCCAGTATTGTTGCTGAAGTTCCACCTCCCTGAGCAATTTCTGAACATGTTTATCAATGCTATTAAAACTGTCTTTACTCCAGCTGTGTAAATGGTGTAAACATCTGTTCAATTTGGAGGACATGCTTCTTTGTAGGTCATGATCCTGTGGTGGGTTCTGCTGTGGGTTCTGTTGCCAATGCTGACTTACAATCTACTTTGCCTTGTCACATCTCACCCAGAATTGCTCAAACATTCTCTTCTTTTTTTTCTTGTGGTTTTGCTCTTTCAGGTCCACTAAAATGGAACCATGATCAGACTTCAAAATGGGGAGATTCCTGATTATAGCTTTGTTGAAGAAACTCAGCCAAGCTTTGTTGACAAAAGCCCTATCCAATCTCTCATATATGAGGCTATCTCCTTGTCTATTATTAGTCCATGTATATCAACATCCAAGATGTCTAAGTTTTTCCAAATCATGCTTACTCAGAAAAGTCTTGATACAGTTAGTATCTGCTTCATTGACTAGTCGGCCCCCATATTTGTCTTCTTGATTAATGACTTGATTGAAATCTCCTAATAGAATACTAGGATACGATAGAGGACTGAGTGTGCTATTCAGATCAAGCCAAAATTTGGTTCTCCCCTGTCTAGAAGGAAACCATACAGAAAGATAGCAACCCATTCTAGTCCTGTCACTTCTACTACCTTAACTGCTATTATATTTTCATTTTTGGCCAGTAGGGTCAGAGAGAATCCATCTACCCAAAATAAGGCTAATCCTCCCCTGGTTCCTATTGGACCCACCAAAATGAGGTGCCTATAACTAGTTCCTTGCTGCCATTTAACCATACTACTAGCTACCATCTTAGTCTCCATAAAAAATAACATACTAGGGTTATAGTGCTTCATTAATTTACATAATACTTGCTTAGTGGGGTTGCTATTCATGCCCTTGCAGTTCCAGCTCCGTATTCTCATGGAGACAGAGGCAGTTGTTTTGGATCAACCGCCGCAAGTCACTTCAGTGCTTCCTGCATTGTCAATTCGCTGTCAAAAAAAGAAATCAAATTGGTCATAGTTGAAATGCTCCTTTTGTGGCCCTCCAGACACTGAGCTTTGCTTCCCAGCTTCTGATGTTCCTCTTCTGTCACCTCCCTCGGTCTTTTGGTCACCGTATCAGTTTCCTTGGCCTCATTTCCTACCAACAGATCACTTCTCACTGTCATATTTTCCATGGCCATTAGTCTCTTCCATCTCTTTAGTCGCTCCAGGGTCCTATGAGGCTGATAATTTGGCACAGTCAGGGACTGATCTGTTGCTAAAGTTCCGTTGATCCTTAGCTCCTTCTGGTACAGTAGCATTTGCCTTCCTCGCTGTTGTTGAGCTTTCCTGGCCATGAAACTCATTCCTTGTCACTTAAAGGTCCTCCTCACTAGAGTGTTTGCTTCCTGTATTCCCTTCCCCTGGTTCTTACTAGAACTATCATGACGATGTTCTGTGAACCCAATCACCTCCTTCTCAGCCATCTCCCCCAACTGTGGCCAAGACAGAATAATGGCCTTCTCCATGTTGTTAATTTCATCACCAGCTACTAGCAGCCTGCTGAAGTACTGTGCTGCTTGTTCTTCCAGTTGATATTGAGCGTCTGCCTCTTCTATCTATGGAGCTACTAGACTCTCTGCCTCCACTTCTTTGACAACCACTTCATTCTCCCTATCAAACAATGTGTCTTGATCTGCCTGAACCATATTAGTCGAAGAAACCCCATGATCTCCACCACGCAGGGAGGCTATCCATGGTACCTACACTGAACTTCCTATCCTCATCTTTAGTGTTTAAATCCCCTATACCAGGAGACGGTACATCAACACTATGTTCCTCCACTGACAATACATTTGAATTACCAGGAATCTCACTATTAACTAACACAGAAGGGTCAACATATGAAACAACACCACCAAAATTCTCCAAACCATTAGTCTCGTGAGATTGATCCTCAGTAGGTATCAGGTTACTTAAAGGTGAGAAGTTTGCCTTTGTTAGTTCTAGCGGATTGTGATTAGGCAACATGTCTCCATCACCATGTAATATAGTAAAAGAAGGAAAAGAGAGCACACTATTGGGTGAGTTACCTCTAGCCGCAGAGCCTAGTGGAGAGGAGGCTGCAGATCCTTCATGGAAACCATTTTCATGAGGGCCTCCGTCGTTGATAGAACCATTATCAAATCTGTTCTCTACCTCCATGTCCTCTTGGTCCTCCTCTCGGCCATCATCTGGTGGTCCATTGTCCGAGTCCTCTGGACCATCGGGATCCTCATGATTCTCTTCTTCATCATTTTGGTCATCATTGTGGTCTTCATCATCCTCACTTGGGGGCGAATCAATATCCATTGCATGAAGACCCTTATCCCCATCCATCGTGATTCTGAAGCCGTCATTTACCCATTCTTCCTCAATAAGAGCGTAATAAGACCTTGTTCTATTCAGAAACGCTGCTGTCAACCTGGTGCATCTTCTATTTTTATGCCCATCTGCTCTCATTGTCTCTGGAAACATCTCATGAAGCTCATTCCAATACATGTGAGTATTGTTTCTTTCTGCTTGAGCCCTAAAATATTAAGTGAGGAAAGCCTCTAATGCTACATCAGAGACTATCATACACTTATGATTGGAGTGTCCCAGCCTACCACATCTCCTACAAAATTTATGCAACCTTTCATATTTGCATTCCACTAAATTTGGCGTACCTCTAGAGGATGTGGTATGAAAAGCTGGTGTTAGTGGGTTACTTGGCTCGATCCATATCTTAGCTCGTAGATACGTTGCCTTCTAAAGCACAAAGTAATCTTCTTTGATCTTTTTCACCTCCCCCAGCATTTTGACTAGTTCACGGGCTCCTATCTAGTTGAAATTCAGCAGTGGAGTCTTGTGGAGTCGAACCCAGATTGATAATTTTGTGATCCGGACCCTATCCAGGACTAAATCATCATCAGCATACCATCTTCGCAGTATCAGCAATCCACCATACACTGCATATGGTCCATTGTCCAGAACCGCTAGGAGATCTAGCTTGCTTACAAATCTGATCACAAAAAAATTACGATCATAGTGTACAACCGTTGCATATAAAGCCCAGTTCCTAGTGATGTAGTTCTGCAGTTGCTCACCATTAAAATATCAATCATCGATGAGGTACCCTATTAAAGAAAAAGATTGATGTTCCGCCGAGAACTCCTCTGCTGCGGCTGAGATCTGTTTATTGAGGACCCGCATGTGGAGTCTATAGATCATATTTGGCGGCACATCTTGTTCTGGATTGTAATTCCTCATCTCCTCTGGAAACTCAGGCCCTTGATGAGTGTTAACACTAAAAAATGAATTTTCACTTGCATGTGAATAAGACATGCCTATCGCTTATTTAAAGGACCAGATCTGGCCCTTGGGAGTTTTAACTAGAAATAAATGCTTCTGTTGACCCTCCAAATGAGCTTGATCGTTTCCTCAAGTGGAGCTGACTGTGCATTTAAGTTTTTGCGAGGTTTACAACCTTTGCATGCATCAGAAGGACTTTGGAAATAGTTTAATTCTTCTGGGGAAAAGAAAAGGTGCTGCTGGCTGTTGAAGAGTGTAATTTGGGTAGTAAAAAGAAAACAAAAAAACGGTTTTCAAGAAACAGAAAGGTCAAGGATCAGGAATAAAGACTGAAATACTAGAAAGGCAAAGTGTTTTATGACACTGGGAGACGCAAAGAACTCCTGGAGCAGTTAAATAACCCTAGATCTAGGTTAGGAATGTGGGTTTTGGATTAAATAAATAAGAAAACGGGGTACATGCACTCCATTTGGAATTTGCATGTGTGCCAAATGGCGCTTCTCGCCGGTTGGTCTCCACTTTCTCAAGAAAACAATGTTCTTGGGTGGTTTTGTTAACACTCCTAAGAGTAGTGTTCCACTTCCAGGATAGAATTTGGAAGGGTTTTAGTTTTTTGTGCCTCTCCAAGGAGAGGAGGTTCTCTGTCTTCTTTCTAGAGAGAAGGGAGAGCGTATTGTTAACTGCATACATTGTAATTTGTAAAGTAAAGCATTAGCTTTAATTTGCTTGTCGCCAAATGCATGAAATGTGAATTGCTCCCGTTAGGCTATTTCATCTCATTCAACTTATTGTAAGATTTAGTCAAAATGCCAACACTGCAACAAAAACCAGCTAATGCTACACGTAATATAAACACATATTCCGCCAGTGTCTTGACGAAAATGGAAAAAACTAGCTTATGAACTTGGAAGACAGCAAACACAGAACCATTCCAACGCATCCAGATTGTTACGTACTGAAATTCGCAATCACTTTACGAGCTGAAATTCTAATTAGCACACCCAAAAACATCAAATCCAAAATAATAATGACAAGCCTGAAAGCAGCCAGAACATTTGCGGAATATCAAAAGGAAATGCATCATCCATGAGACTCAATCGCATATATACAATTTATCTAAAAGTACCATGCAGCGGAGAGTAATGTAAATACTTTTAAGCAAATAACAAATCCACCAGTGTACAACTCATTTCAACTTCGAACACAGATCACCAAAAGGCAAAATGAAAATTCGTAAGCGTAACATCTTTCTGGATCATAATGTTGCCTTCTAGAACAACAATCAATGACAGATCAAGAAGAAAATTTGACAAGTTTTTAGATAACATTAATCTTGTTGAATGGTTCAAAACTTTACCTTGAGAAGCGGCATATCGCAACTGTTTCCATAACTAAAGCATGATTTCAAATATACTTTAACATGGCATTTCATCTTTATGGCCTCGGAATGCCTCATACGATACTTTTCTGAGACTAGATAACAAGCATCGAGGAACACTAGCGGAACCGATAGGCTAATTAATTAGTTAGTTAATTAAAAACCGATGTTTATGTTACAGTATATGGGCTACGAGGTACAAAAGCTGCACTGAATACTTTCCCGCACAATCCTACGTAATATAGCAGTTGCACTGAGTATTTCCCCCCTTGTTTTAGTTTTACTGGCCCACTAAATTCTTTTCTTTTTTTTCCTTTCACCAGAGAGAGAGAGAGAGAGAGAGAGAGAGAGAGTACTCGGTAGTATACAGAATTCCATCCCATGCCATTTCTGAGATGACTAAATTATTACTATTTAAGTACAATTAAAGAGAAGGAAGTTATTGGATTTAATGTAGGGATAGTGTATTGGATCCTTGAAATGTAAAAGAGAGATTAAGATGTTGAGATTTATACGTATTTCGAGATCAATTTTATAGTAAGATATTTGGTTTCACTAGCAACACACAACATGAGTAGACTACAACGGCTTGATGCTCCACCATTAGGGTCGAACCGTAATTTTACCATGATGTGATCAGAGTACGTAACATATCTTTGTATTATGTTAAATTAATTCGAGGCATTGTGCCTGTTTCATTAAAATAAATTCAAACTAAATAGCTTGAATATATATGTTATAAATAAGAGTGGAAAGGATATAAAACAATTCAAAATTTTAGGGAAAAATCACCATTGTAATCAAGTGGCAACTTCCATATGCAAGCTTTGAAAACACAGTAACGAATGACTTTATTTAAAATTACGTTAAGGATATGCGATAATGATGTATTTGAATATTGGCACTAAGCACTTAGGTGGACGGTAGTGCTATTTGCGTAATGCAATAAATGGGAAAAAATAATGAAAGAAATTGGTATTGATGGAGTTTAATATACTTGTGAGAATATCGATTATTTATATATGCATTTAAATATCCTTTTTGTTGCATCATATTTGTTTCCATGAACAAGTATTCCCAACAATTTTGTAAAATTAACTTAATCTAACTATTGTACAAGTGGTTGGGAAAAAGTACTATATGCTATCTTAATTCCAAATAATAGTCCATTTTGTTGAACTTCGTCTGTCCCCTAATAGATTGATTTAAGTGTTTGAGAAAAATTTTTATATCTCAACTATACTGGGGATGTAAAACTTGAAATGTGATTACTGATTTGGTGGTATTCAGAGGTTGATGCAATTGAAGCTGTTAAGGTCGACTTCAACTTTTTTTCTGACATGTCTAAGGCTCTATTTGGACAAGAGTTTTAAAAAGTCTTTTATAGCTAAAAAGTCTGTTTAGAGTCAAAAAGTCATTTGACCAATAAATTTAAGGTCTTTTCTGAATTATTTTTTAAAAAAAGTAAGTCTGGAAAAGACTTTTTAGAAAATAAGTGGGAGGTATTTTTCAAAATTTCAGAACAGACTTTTTCATTAACCGTTCGCGGATCTAGACGGGTTGAAATTGGGTCATAACGCAAATCGGATTCTTCCCCATTTAGGCTACTCTTCATGTTATTTTGTTGAGTTCTACATTTGACGGCCTCTCCTCCAATCTTCTCCTTCATCAATCAATCATCGCTCTTCGGTGACTTTCCGGCGATTTTAATGCAATCGGCGGTGAGAAATTTTATCCCCCTTGCGGTAAAGTTTCTTATTCCTCTCCCTCTTTTCCCTTTTGCCTCTTGATTAGATTAGGGTTCCTTCGCATGGGTTCATCAAATTATTCTTTTGATACCAAGATTTTGAATCAAATTCTTGTTGTTTTACCATGGATTATTTTGAATTTTTCGTGGGTTTTAGGTATTGAGGGACATCAAATTGGGTTTGATGATTTTTCATGTTTTTCTTCCATGGGCTTGATGATTTTGATGTGCCATTCTGGTCAGTTCCTCTCAATCCTACTTTCTCCTCTTCTTTCTTTCTTAGTTCATTCTCAAATTAGTTTCTACTGTAGGTAAGATATCTTGCTAATTGTTTCTCGCATTAAAGGGAAAAGAATGACAAAAATTAGTTTGACACAGCTAGGACTTACTAGCTGCTAGAGATTGACTTGAAAGCTATGCATCAGCATTGACATTAGCATTTGTCAGTGATGTCAACTTTTTCTTACTTATGGCAGTTGAAACTTGTATCCCAAATAGTATTAGTAGAGAATCAATTGTGGTTGATGGTAAAAGAGGAGGTATATAAATTTTGTTTTAATTAATTTTGCTCTGTAATTTGTTTTTGGCCTGCACTATGAAAGACTGAAAGCCAGTATTTGCTTGTTGTGGCAGATGAAATTCGTGTATAAAATATCAACAGAGAATAAAGTGTGACTGAACTGATGGTAAAAGAGCAGGTGTGTATCAGTTTTGGGTAGTTCTGTTGCCAGACTTGCTGGAGACTTGTTAACTTTTTGAAAAAAATATATAGGAAGAATGCGTTCGCTCGTTGCCAATTGGGAGAGCAAAGATAGAATTTTCTTTAATGATGGTCTTGCTTCTAGTGATATTCCCATGACAATACATGTTCCAAAGACACAACCACCAAGCATAGTACTTTCACTTTTGTTTTGCTGTCCTTTAATTGTGATATAAGAATGACTACACTTTATGGTGCTAAAACTCGCCACTCGATCAACCATTGGTTTAGAGATGTTTTAAATGTTACCAGGTGAGGTAATTGTAATAGGACTGTGAATTCCTATTACGTTCTTTGTTTTGCTACATTTTGACATCTTAAACAATTCCATGATTTCATATAACTTTGATTCTGAAAATTTCATTCCTACCCTTTTGGAGGACTTTGCCTAATCAACTACGTCGTTGTCTGCATAGTGGTATTAGAATATCTGATTTTACTCTTCTCAAATTTATTTTTCTATGGATCCTTCTGGTTTATATGTTGTACAAGTGCATTCTGCTCTCTATCATAATACCCTTACTCGTTGTCTTCTCTTGGTTCATTTTGAAAATTGTGCTTTAGAGCAGTCAGCCTGTATATGCTGAAAAGGAGGAAGTCGTATGTACTAGTGAGGGGGATGTTATTGATGCCTTGATGAAAAATCATAATCAGTTTCTTGGATCAATGTACTCCCAAATGTGTAGGAGTGGATATTGTGGCGGAGCAAAGGTCTATTTGAATCTTAAACATCTACAACCCAAATGTGTTACTTTAGCGATTGTTAATAGATTGTAAGGTTTTTATTACTTATTTGGTGAAACAGGTTGGAGCGCTGCAATATTTGCTTTATCGAGCTTGAGAAGGTGAAACGTAGCTTGCCTAGCCTATGCATGTATGCATTCGTCTCAGTTACTCAGCAATTCAGTAACAGCCTTGTGAATTTTGGTAGTTGATTTCCTGCCTTGCTGCTCCTTCCAGAAGAGGCAGTTCAGTTGCCAAGTCGGCGCACGTGCTAAACCTACCACTTCAAGACGTTTCATGAGGAACTGTAGTTAATTGAGAACTAGTTTAGTTGCAAATATTGGTTGAGATCGCTAACATCAGAGCTCTCAAGTCGAAGTGATGTTCTTGTTCACGTGGTTTGTCCGAGCTTGAAGCCCTATGCAATGGTCTGTCTACCAAAGTCGAGGGAATTGAGAAACTACTTTATCCAGTTAAACTAAACCTTCATTTCTGAGGTATGAACCCAACCTGCTTGATTTCTTTTGGCTGCTTGAACAGATACTAGGAATCATCAAACCTAGTGGAATCATGAGATTTGCTTTCTTTTCCTAACACATAATCAACGTTGCTAATCCTGTGATCCCTAGTTATAGGCAAAGTGGGGGAACCCAGTTGTGTTGCTTAGTGTAGTTTGTAATCTTGTATTGGGCAGATATACATAAAAAGTTTGTATTCTGCTGTTCATATTATCAGCTTGTGTTTTAAGGCACCTAGTCTTATATTAATAGAAATATGTTTGTTTTCGGCCAAAAAGATATAAATAAATTTTGTTTCTGTTGTACTGTGGACATTTAAGATGTGCTTACTTGAAACTCAGAACTCAGTATGATGATGTTCTGATTCATTTAATTTGCTCTAGATTTGCTTGTACCAAGGCTCACCATATGAATTTGTACCAATATGCAGAATAACAATACAATTTGTGTAATCTGTAATGTTTTTCTTCCAATTGATAATATAAAAATTTGAAAGAAAACTGTTGTGAATAATAAAAATATAATTCAGAAAGAAAAGTGGAAAAAATGAAAATCAAAATTTGTGTAAGAATTTCTTCTTCTTTAAAAAAAGAAAAGTGTAATTATTTTCTGAAAAAAAAAAGTATTTTTGGAAAAGATCTAATCCAAATAGCTTTTTCATATTTTCAACTACAAAAAGCTTTTTGTTAAATTTTTGTCCAAATGGATTTTTTTTTCAAAAAGTCTTTTCTAAATTTTGTCCAAAAAGACTTATTTAAAAAGTTTTTCAAAACTCTTGTCCAAGTGGAACCTAAACTCTTACAAATTTCTTCAGCATTTGGTTACATCTTTTGGATACATTCTGAATGCAATTTTGTCAGTAATATACTCACATTTGAACCAAATGGCCCAAATTATCTTGATAAGTCATAAGTGAGGTGGCTTTATGCGCAGAAGAATATCAGAGTTAAAATGCCAAATCCGGATCACATAGACATTCAAAGAAAGGGAAACGAGTTTCCTTGTGGACATGTTCAATATTCGTCTAGCGAATACGTCAAAGTTCATTTCGAGCAGTGCCTCTATGAATAAGATTGATGCTCCTGCTTTTTTAGTTTTGCATATGGGTTCCTCCTGCTGTCTAATTGCGTACATTCTTTTGTATTCAAATTCAAGCGGCTTCTTACATTATAAAATCATCAAAACCTACGTGGTCGTGTTGCATAAATGCTTTAACCCTCAATAATCAAGATACAGTGATGAAACAAAGATATTCAAACTATCCCCCGAGTGGCCGAGTATAATATTAAGACTATATATTTACGGTGCCTCGGCACATAATATTTTACTAGATCCGTGGTGGGGCTGATAATCACTGAGAGATATGCAGTACTGGGCAAGCAAAAATCTTTCAGGAAGTGGAGCATAAAAAATGCAAAATCTATTGGAAAGAACTAAGAAAATGGAGGATAGTCTTTACAGAACTCCAAACTGAAAAAACAGAATCATCCCAGGGGATCCAAATTGTCTTGTGTTAACACTGTATATAGTACTCTCTCCGTCCCGTAATTATTGTTCAATTTCGATTTTCATTTTTACTACAAATTGAAATAAAAGTAAAATTTATATTGAACATTAATTTTGGAACAGAGAGAATACTAAAATTTCCCATGCTAACGTGCAGGAATTTGCAAAGAAATTAGATAGAATTTGAGGAATCAAAAGGAAATACATCATCCATGAGACAATCAAATACAAACTATCCAAAAGCAAGAAAAGAAATAATAAAAACACGAAACAAACTGTAACAAAAGTATTTTTTAAAAAAGTAAATAACAGATCCACCATATATAGCAGAATGGATTTCAACTACTAACCAATAGCCATAGAATCCAAAAGATGCATCTAAAAGATGAAACTTATCGACTGTCACATCTTTCAAAACACAGCGATGCCTTCCAAAACGATGATCACTGAATCAATGAAAGAAAATTTGACAAGCCGGAGATACTCTGGATAACATTAACATCTTGTTGAATGATTCAAACTTTCCCTTGAGACCGCGATAAGGATTCGCGTGTATATCAACTCTCTCCATAACTAAAGCATGATGGACAATGTACTTTAACATGGCCTTCTCATCTTCATGATCTTGGAATCCCTCGTATGATACTGTTGTGAGACTATGTAACAAGCATTTAGGAACACTGGCAGGATCCCTCCATCCATTGCGAATTAAAGCATCACATCCCCACTTCCTGATGCGGAGTTCCTCTAATGCAGGACAAGAATTGATCACATCAAAGTTAAAAACGATCGAGTTAACCGTTAAAAACAATTTTGTTACTCTGGTGAAACATGCCGAGAATTTGCCGGTGGTCTCTTTTAGAGTTAAATTCAGAATCTTTGCTTGATCAAATATGTGGATCGTCTCTAATGTTAATCCGCCGCCTATTGAAGAGAGATCAAAAGTCACCTCATTCAAAGAGGCCAAATCATTGAGGATAACAATTTTTATGGACAGAAAAACATCCCACACAACACATTCAAGCGCAGGCGTACCAATTTGCAGCTTAAATTGATCAGAAGCAGCGGCAACTTCACAGTCAGAGCACAACCCATGATAATACCGCAAACGTTTCAGTGAATGGGAAAAAATTGTACAAACAACCATGCCATCATTGTGGCCCCTGTAAATTTCGAGAGATTCTAAAACAGGGGAACCAGATATAAGCTTGCAAAAAGACTCATCCGATTCAAACTTAACATTATGCAGTTCTAAGAGACTAAGTTTCGGAAGACAGACTGATTGGGGAACTTTAACCAGAAAAGAACCATATAATTTCAGAACCTCTTATGTCCCGCAAGTGTAGAGCGCAAGGGGCAAGTGAAACTCATATTGATGATAATCTTTTGGACGATTGCCCCGTCCATCTAACGGGGACACGTTCAAATCAAGAACTTGGATATTTCGAGCGATCACGAGATTGACCCAGATGTTAAGATGAACGAATGGGAAGTTTTTGTCAGCAACGTTGAGCATAAAACGGTTGACGATGGAAGGGACTTGAGCACTGTGATTGCACAAAACCATGTTCACAAAGTCTGAAAAACTCATGAACCCGACACCAGGCCTCCGGGAAGAAGAAGAAGAAGAGTTATTGTTCCTAATAAGCCACCAGTAATCATCGAAATCAAAGGTGGTCAGTTTGGTCCAGTGATGTTTCCAACCTTTGGACAAGAAGCTTGTGGCTGCGGCTGATTGGGTAGGGAGGAAGGAGAGGATGTGCCCAATGATTGTTTCCGGCAAATTGCTAATCCGATCGACCGGGATCATCGCATCTTTGCCCGAGAGTTGGGTTTTCTCCATCTCTGGATTAAATTGATCGAATTCACCTCCGCTCTGTTTCAGTTATACAGGAACCGTCGTCTTGTATACGGAAAACCTAACTCTCTGAATTCCTTTTTTTTTTTTTTTTTCCACTTCAAAATTACAATTCTTTTATGTGAGAGGATACTAATGAAGAAAAATAAATAAGCTACGGTTTTGTTATATGGACTGGACTCCAGATTAATTTAGCCCTCCAAAGAAGTCCATTTCCGTAACGTTTATGTTATAATATATGGGCTACCCATAAATTTAGCTCAGTTAACAAATCCATAGTGTTTTTTACCCTTACGTTTTCACCTTTATGTTGCAAGCTTTGTTTTGGTTTAGCAATATGTGAAGCAATATTTCTCTAGGAAAAAGAAATACACTATAATTCTATACATTAAAAGAGCTCACTTTTTTTTTTTTTGATGAAAGTTGATTTTCATTCCAATTGGATTATAAGATAAGTACAATCTCAAAAGTTCTCAAGAGATCTATACACCAAAATATTTACAACCTGCAACTATATATCAATACACAAAAGGTCACCACACAAGATAGCAAAATCTAGCATTTCAATCAAATTGGGGGGAGATTTTCATCAATGTGCACCACTGCATGTTCTTACGTGTATTTTTCATCTTGGCAATTTTGGCAAGATTCATCTTCAAGGAGAATGAAATGCTCCGAAGCACCTCAGTTTCTGACACCCTCGTATGGTGAAAAATAACCTCATTTCTCACCTCCCAAATGTGATATATCACTGCTGCCATCACTCCTCTAGTAATGCCATCGCTAACAGAACTTGAGCCATATTTTCTCAACATCTCTTCCTTAAAAGATAGCCATTGGAATGACTGGACCTCTTCACCCACCAATGCCATGGTTTTAGTGATGATCTGAATGGAGAATAAGCACTCAAAGAACATATGGTCAACACTTTCTTCCTCCATCATACACAGAGGACACCTACTATCAATAGTAGGATCATATATGAAGATTTTGGCCCTTGTCTTCAACTTGTTGAGACATGCCAACCAAGCAATAAAACCATGTTTTGGGGCAATAAACTTACCCCAAGATAGGATGTACTCTGGCTTCCTAGTGTGCTGGATACTTAGAGTCAGATAAGCCCCCTTCACTGAGAAAGGTTTACCGGCGCCAATCCATTCAATGCCATCTACTGTCACGTTAACGCATCGCAAAGCGAATTTTTTCATTTTCAGCAACTTTTTCATTGGCCAGGAGGTAGATTGTTTCACTTCAAGATTCCAAAAGGAAAAATCTTTCACATAGTATTCATGTATCCACTTCACCCATGAGCTCTCTTTATTAAGATGAATATCCCATATAAGCTTTAAGACCAAGGCAACGTTCATCACTGTTGAATCCTTGATGCCTAACCCTCCTGAATTCAAGGGCTTACACACATCCACCCAAGCAACAGAGGCTTTTTGCTATCAGAGTTACCTGACCATAAAAAGGATCTGCAAAGACCATCAATGGTTTTTATCACCTTTTTGGGAATAATGAAGATTCGGCACCAGTAGTTGTGAAGAGTCTGAAGGACTGATTTCACCAAAGTGAGTCGCCCAACATATGATAGAAATCGTGTGGTCCAGCTTCTGATCCTCTGAGTAACATTCTCAATGAGAGGCTGGCAGTCTGTGATGGAAAGAGATTTAGAATTAAGTGGGATGCCAAGATATTTCACCGGGAGCTTACCCTCTGCTACCCCCAAAATGCTGCTGATGTCCTGTCTCAAGTTTACTGCAGTTCCCCCAAAATACAAGCAACTCTTGGATATATTTGAAATAAGGCCAGACACACCAGCAAAGTGCTTGAGAACAGAATCAATCAGTCTAACAGAGTTCATGTCAGCTTTAGAAAAGATAAACAAATCATCTGCATAAGCCAAATGGGTGAGCTTGATCCTGTGGCACTTGGGGTGAAATCTGAAGTTCTTATCCAAAGACATTTTCCTCAGAGCCCTGGATAAATATTCCATTACAAGGGAGAAAAGATAGGGGGACATGGGATCGCCTTGCCTAATTCCTCTCTTTCCAGGAAAGTAACCAGTGAGCTCACCATTGACTATCATGGAGAATTGGGCAGTGGTAACACATGTCATGACCCACTTGATAAATCTGAATGGAAAGCAATAGTGAACCAAAAGATCTTCCAGAAATTTCCAAGAAACTGAGTCATATGCCTTTTGCAAATCCACTTTCAAGGCCATCCTAGGGCTGGAATTACTCCGACCATATAAGTGAACAAGTTCTTGGGCAAGCAAGATATTATGAGTGATACTTCTACCCGGGATAAATGCTCATTGTTCTAGTCCTACAATTTCTCCAATCACCTTCTTGAGACAGGCTTTAATGATGTTGGTGATGCACTTGTACACCACATTACAACACGAAATAGGTCTAAAATCAGCTGCTACATTAGGGCATGTAATTTTGGGGACAAGAGCAATAGCAGTAGCATTAATGACTTGAGGAAGCTTATAGGAAGTGAATAAATTCTTAATAGCATTCATGAAATCCACACCAATGATATCCCAACTGTGTTTGAAGGCCTTAGCACTCATCCCATCAGGCCCCGGGGCTGATTTATTAGAGATATGAAAGAGGGCTTGTTTGATTTCTTCATCCTTGATTGGCATGCATAAGTCCATACATTGCTGAGGAGAGACTAAACGACCACCAATAGCAATACTGGGGTCCAAAGTTGTTGTTGCCTGCTCAGATCCCAAGAGGTCTTGGTAGAAACTTAGTATCTCAGCTTGGATTTCTGAAGGGTTTGATAATATTTTACCATTTCTGTCCACAAGAGTATTGATAGTGCCTAAGGCTCTTTTCTGTCTCAAACAAGCATGAAAATAAGCTGAGTTTTGATCTCCTTCCAGGCTCCAGTTAACCTTTGCTCTCTGTTTAAGGAAAAGTAGTTCATACTTGATGAGTTTGTGAAGATCAACAACTGCTTGTGCCTCCTGTACCATCAGTAGAGGATTAGAGGGATTTTGGAATAAGTCATTTTGTACATCATACAAGCGGCTCCTTGCTCCATTAATTCCGTGTGAAAGGGATCTTGTCATGCGCCCATACTTCTCTTTAAGTTTTAGTTTAAGAGCCTTGACTTTCCTCTAAAGCCCATAGAGATCAGTGGGAGGAGGATATGACAGCCAGCTATTAGCCACTGTAAGGCTAAAATCATCCTCTTTTGTCCAGAAATTACAGAATCGAAAAGGAGGGTAGACAGCTTTATATGGTACCAGTTCAGCAATGGCAGGAGAATGGTCAGATACTCCTGGAAGTAGAAAAGACGCTATAGACTGCATAGAAGTCATCCACAAGCTGTTAACCAGGATTCTATCAAGTTTAGAGCATATTCTTGGATCACAATGATGCTTGTTGGACCAGGTGAAGAAGTTCCCTGAGAAAGGCAGGTCTGTGATGTGATTAAATGCCATGAAAGACTGTAACTCAATTGTGTCACTGGCCGTAACAGGTCTTCCATTCATCCTTTCAGAAACAGAAGCTATACAATTGAAGTCACCCATAATGATCCACTCATAAGCAATAGATGCCGACAGACTATTCAAATCTGACCACAATGATGTTCTGTCCTTCTTTGAATTTAAAGCATATACAAAAGTAGCATAGAAGTGATATCTACCCGAGACAAAGCTACAATGGATAAGCTGATCAGTCCTCCTAAGAACTTGAAGTTTCAATTTGCAGCTATTCCATAATATGAGAATTCTACTGTGTGGTGATAAGTCAAAATTATGTACAAAGTTCCATGAAGGAAAGTTGCAGCACTTAGCAAAAACAGAATTTAACTTATCTATATGCACTTTAGTCTCTAATATAGCTATTAGATCTAAGCAGTTAGACCTAATAAAATTCTTGATATCAAACTGTTTATTGGGATCATTGAGACCCCTAATATTCCAGCTTGTAATCTTCATAAAATAAACATAAAGAGAGTTTAGGAAGGTGTGGTACCTCCCTTAGGCTTCACTTTTCTCTGACTCCTTAGTCCCTTAGTCGCCGGAGCTGGATTGTTGGCTTCTTGAGCTAGCAAATTGAAAGGATTTGTATCTAGCTGGCCGATGGCTTCCTCTTCCTCTGAGATTGACTGCCTCTGAATAGTAGAATGAACCATAACCTCAGGCACCTACATCTCTGGGCCTAGCTGATTATTTTTTAAGTTACCACTAGGCTTTGCATTAGTTTTACCTTTGGGAATCTTTCCTGGAGCTTCTTTCTCCTTAAACGTCACTGCAGTTTCCTCGTTCTCTTTGTTCTCCATTGTTGCAGCATCCTTAGACTTCATGAGAACAGCCTCCTCAGCTTGAGTTTCAATGACTTGGTCTGTACCCTGATTTTCTTTGAACCAATTACTTCCTGGTGAATTGGATTCCTCAACTTGTTTAGGCATTCATTTTGGTTTAGGCTTACTACACTTTTCTGTCGAGTGACCAAAACATTCACAATGGGAACATCTAGAAGGAACCCATTCATACTCCACATTCTGTGTAATTAAGATTCCTTTTGGGCCTTTCAAAGTAATCTCCTCAGGTAATTCAGAGAGGGGGTTAATTTCTACACAAAATCGAGCATAACTAAGCCTCCCCTTAGCAGCAGTAATTCCGTCTGTATAGATAGGCTTACCAATCACACTAGCAATTTTGCTCAGAACTGATTGAGACCAAAGGTGTAATTTCAACAGTGGCAGCTGAACCCAGATCGGAAAACTCGAGATTTTCTTTGGGTCAATGTCCATTTCTGGCGTCCAAGGTTGGAGAATCAGTTGGAAGGTGAAGTAGCTCCATGGGCCAGACTCAAAAATTTCATCAAGTTTCTCTTTAGTATTAAATTTAAAAAGAAATACCCCTTTCTCAATTAGATGTGCAGTGATTATATTTTCATTTCCCCAATTAAGCTTTACATACCTTTGAATCTTTTCAAGTAAGGGTTTGTCACCATAGACAAAACTAACCAGACAGTGTTCCCATTCTTGGATACCGGAGTTCCATTCTTCATCTTCAATGTTCACTT